CCGGTTCGACCACCGTTGTAGTGAGAAACGCTGAGAGCTGCTCGATTGTAGAGGGTTGTATGAGCTCAAAAAGGTTGGCGTTGCAGACGCTGATCGAACCAAACCAGCCGTAAAGCCCCACACGCTGTACGAGCGCCGATTCGGGCGGGAGGGTGTCGCCACACATGATGTTGCCACAAGCAAAATGTCCGGGCTAGACAAGAGGAAAGAGGGGATCTCGCACACAGCCGACTTGAGCGGGATCGCGAGAAAGGACGCCGAGGCCGACGCGTTGACAACGAGCACTGTCGCTACAGTAGAGCACTATGCAGAGCGATTCAACAGCATCAACAGCGATGTTGGCGGCGAAACTACATGCCAGTCAATGCTTCCAAAAGGGCCAAAGAGCGATTGCGAGAGCTCCAGCCCCGCTAGCAGCGGTGTTGGTATCTGCCTTTTGATGCGAGGTTCGTGATGGGGAGCCAGCGCCTGATATCAAAAGCCCACGGCTTTCTTTGTACAAAGAGAATGCCACACACGGACGGCGGCAGCAGCACTAATCTCGCTTTCGGCTGACCCCATCCAGACGACGGCGGTACTGTACTTGGCAGAAGCCAAGATGGCGTGTCTTGCCGCAGTGGCTTGTTGGCATCAAGGAGAAACAAGACCAAGAATGGCCGCGACGAGCAGAATGAGGTTGGTGTGGCACTTGATGCCTCATACAGTGGTTGAGCGCTGGATATTCATATCTACACAGCTCTCGAACCACTAGGTCAAACCAAGGCGATGTGTTTTGTATCAATGTATCAATCTGTCAGTAGATAGTCCTACCGAGAAGCCGTTGGGATGGGACGGCACAGGATAGAGCCTGTGGCCAGGGCTCCAGCAGTCAGCTAGCTTTAGTTTCCTACTTGCCTCATAGTACACATGCCGATGTTCAGGGAGTTTGGCCTCCCTTCGTATGTGTTTGTGTTGATGGGCAGTCATCTCGTCACGGTCACAGTTGGTCGAGACACACGACCTGCGGAGAGCTTTCGCCGACTGCACAGGCGAAACGATATGGACAAGATATACCTAGCCATGCCAATAGGGCGCTGGACGACGTGTCACACTCTGTCGTCAGTGGCACTAACGCATCTTGTAGCGCATAGAGAGCCCACGTCGCTTCGCTCGCAACGAGGCATGAGCCGAGAAGCGGCTTTGGAGACAATGAAAATGTAGTCCCGTACGCGGTTGTTTGCGGCTGGAGAGTGCTCGAGGCGAGGCAGAGAAGTGCCGCGAGATTCGAGCCATCAACAGGCCACGGTTGAGCCACGTGGCACTCGGGGTCCGATTATAGTACAGCAACGGCATGTGCAGCCGTTCACCGCTCGTGAGACGTAGCGACAACACAATCAGCTCCACAAGACTCAAGACCACGCTCGTCATGGCGCACGCACCCCACAAATATGCACCAAAGACAGAGCTGACCAAACACATTCAGAAGCATGATGACGGTAGATGAAAAGACATTATTTGAAGATACAACAAGCTACTAGGTATATATATATTTGCATTTAGTACATGGCCTGCATTAGGCTGCACTAGCGACAGCTGCCAACGCCGCGGTTGCAACGTCGTGATCCTGCTGCAGCCCTTCGTTCTTGAAGTCGTGGCGACCTTGGCGAGCAAGGAGGACTTTCGCGCGATCGTCGCGGATGATGCTGAGATACTCTTCGATGGGACCCGTGAACGCCGCTCGGAGGTGAAGCTGGCCCATGATGTTGGCTTGGTTGTACACGTTGAGGACCACTGTGCGGGGTGCAGCGAGGCTTGTTCGCTCTTCGAACGAGAGCTTATCCGGCTTCAAGAGGTCGTCGAGCCGAAGTGTGACTTTGCCAACATATGTGTCCCACATGATGTTGACCTTGCGGACGGCGAACTCGACGGTCTTGGCGAGCGGTTGGACGTTCTCGAGCGTCGTTAGCCATTCCCAGCGCAAAACGCTGTTGGTCTCGGGCACGCACGGCGTCTTCACCACCTCGTCGAAGCGCATCTGGCTGTACCCTTGGAAATCGAAAATGTTCGTGTTGATGGCAAAGTTGGTGCCCTTGATGATCGCCAACGTGAGACCGATGATTGGAAGGTTCGCGGAGCCGAGCGCTTGGAGATGACGAGGAACGTCTTGCTCGTTTTGCATCTCCAGGAGGCGCCGCACCACTTCGGGGGCCGTCGGGCGCTGGGCGGCGTCCCACTTGATGCAGTCTTGCACGAGCTCCGCGTAGGCTTTGGGCACCGACATGTCCTCGAAGTAGCCCGAGAGGAGCTCTTCGGCTGTCTTTGGGTTTCGCAAAAGCGCTGTGACGTGACCGTCATCGATTGGATTGCGTCGTCTCAAGACGTGGGTGAACGGAAGGTCGCGCGTGAGGAGCGAGATGAGGACAAGGCCGAACGAGAAGATGTCGATCGCGTCCGTGTACTTGATCTTGCCGTCCTGAAGTGTCTCGGGGGCCCCCCAGCGCGCTTCTGTGACGCCGTTGGTGTCGAATCCCGTCGTCGACGTCTTGGCCTTGAGACCGACAAAGACCTTGACGCCGCCGCGGTGCGGAATGTAGATGTTTCTCCACGAGAGATCGCGGTGCATGACGCCGACCTTGTGGACATCGACGAGCGCCTTGCCGACCTCGAGCGCAATCGCAAGAGTGTTCTGCATCGTGAGCTTCTTGGCGGGGTCACTCAAGAATGTCTGCAGGTCGCAGCCGACAAAGTACTCGACGTACGCGATCGGGTTGGCGCTGAAGAGATCGCAGGCGCCTACGAGCTGCAGAATACGACCGTCCCCGCCATTGAGCCTACGAATCAAAACAAACGCTATCAATGCCTCGTTCCCAGAGGAGATATACCGCATACGCTTGCATGATTGCGATCGACTTGCGGAAACGCTCCAAGTCTTCGCGCTTGCGGTAACCTTCCTTGAGCTGGATACGAAGCACGTGTTCGCCATCCGCGAGGAGTCCGACGCGCAGCAGCGCAAAAGGATACGCCTCCCGTTTGAGCGCGTCCTTGCCACCCAATTGTACAAAGCCGGCGTCGTCATAGACCTTGACGCTCTTCAAGCGCTGCTCTAGCAGGTCCGCTTCGCGCTTGGCTTCGAGTTGCTCTTGCTTGCGACGCAGCTGATCTTCTTTTTGCTGCTCGAGCTGGCGGCGCATCTCGTGTTCGCGTCTGGCTGCATCCGCAGCCAGCGCATTTTCGGACGCGACAATAAAGTCGTTGGTGAGGTTGTTGATCTTGGTCTCGTTCGCCCGCACGACGCTCTCCATCTCGCGATGCATGGCGGCATTCGCACGCTTGAGCTCGTCGATCTCGTTTCGCAAGGAGTCGTTCTCGACGCGAAGCATCTCGGTCTCACTGCGTGGGGTCGGGTCTTGGAAAATTTCGTTGCTCAGCGCGGCGCCCATGACGATGGAAAATGAAAAGTGCCAAATGATTCGTTTGCTTTCCTGTACGTTGTTGATAGATACGTTGGGATCCAAGTTGATCGTTTGGAGAGCACTTCAGTCGCTTCTGGGTGAGGCAGCTGACCATAATCACGGTACGCTTATCAGCAGTGGCCTTGGCCTCGCTCTGCATTCAGTCAAGAAGGGGTCGTCCTCGTCGACTTCTTTTCGTCTACCGTTCTTGGTTGAACACCAGGTAGATGCGGGCTCAGAGAGAGCCCCACTTTCGTTTGCATTCATTTATCAAACGAGTCATGTTGAACATCCTAACCGCGGCGTGGATCCCTTGCGCGCGCAAAAAAGTTCAACATAATTGGCAGTCGTGCCGGTGGCTTGGCCCACTATCGACAATCCTGTGCAAACCGAGTTCAGCTATCACCAGTGTCCGACAGCTGGGGCAGGCGAGAGGACAGAGTGGCCACTTGACTCTTGGGCTTGTGCTCGGACCAAGTGCATTCGATGGCGCTACAATCTACTCATGCACTACAAGCCCACAAGAAGCGCTGTAGCGAGGTCCATATGGCTCGCTTCCAGGAGTAGAGTGTTGACACTCGCACTCAGAGTATCAACTCTCACTCTCCCAAGCACAAAGAAACGGTCCAATCAAGTGGTTTCGATCCGGAAAAGTATCAAGTGACAGAATGTTTGTCGAATCCTGGGATGTCCAACAGCCCCGTGCAGTCCGACTGAATTGCTTCTGAACGCTCCTTGCCGTAGCGATCATTTCTCAAATTGCACTTCGATGTTCAGCACGTGGTGGACTCCCGGTCCCGATCCCACGGTGGACGAGGAGACGCCAATGCCACTGCAGATCCACAAGGCCATCGTCGAGCAGCTCAAGCGCGAGCATGAAAGGACGATGAAGAAGCTCCGAGAATCGCACAAAGCCGAGATCGAACGCATGACGGCCAAG